GGAAGCAAAAGGCAGTGGATTCCAATTTGTAGACCTTTTCTTTTGTCTTGGCTCCTATTGTCATCCATATTTTAGCACTTCTCTGCTACTTAAATCACCGCCGGAGCTCATCCAAGCAGTAGGAGGTGCCTCCGCTTACGTCTTCAGCTCCTTCCTCTCCCCCCTGAAGCTGATGCTTCCTACTACTCCCTCTTCCTCCTCTTCCGGCGGCATTTCAGTACATTAGACGAGACTTTAGCTTTACTTCATCTTGATCAGAACCGTCTTTAGTATGGATTTTAGGCCTTCTTGCGTTGTCTTCTCTAGTGCTCACTCTTCGTCTTCTTGTGATTCCAATTCTGCTTTCGATTCAGCTTCAGCTTTCATGTGTTTAGGACCTGATCTCCCCGAGCATACCTTGAAGCCTTCCTATTCTGAATTCGCCGCTTCTGCTTCTCCCATTCTTGATTCCGCCTGATCTTCCTTGATTCTCGTTTTTTCTTCTTTTCACTGTTTTCTCTCTAATTTCACGTTGCCCAGAGCAATCTCCAAGTTGGGGAATGAAAAGATGTTGAGTACGTTACCTTCTGTTCCAGTTCTTTTTAGCCACTCACGGCCATCATTCACCGTGCCAGCCACCGGGGCTTCTTCAGCATTCTGCACCGCTCGGTGTAATCCTTGCTTCAAGGGGTAATCTCTGCTGATTTTTTTTTTTTTCCAAATGTCTTTTATGATTTTCTTTGTGGGGTTTATCCTTTGATTGTTGAAACTCTCCTATTAGGTAGGGAATTTGACTGTTTAGTTAATTTAGAGATGAAACAAGAAATTTGTCGTCGGCAACCCCCAATATCCTTTTATTCTTTACGATCATCAGGTATGGTCTCAAGGACAATTACTGTTCATCCATGAGGAGGTGGAGGAGCCTTAGGAGCACTTCATCTACTTCGGGTTCCGCTTATCATCTCATTACCAATCAGCTAACCAGTGACTCTCCCCGTCACAAAATTTTCCAGGAGGTTGATCTGTAACACGTGTTTATTTATACTTCACTCCGATTTTCTGATATTTCTGGGAATTTAATGTAATTGTCAGGTTATTAAGGATGCAAGGGACAAGTTCACTCGGGAGATCTCTTTTCAATCTAAGGACAAAGACATTTCTCTTGCCAAGGTATACAACAAATGGATATCTAATGGTTAAAAGTTGGGTGTATATTTTGTTTTGGGTGTTTGTTTCAGTCTTGTAAATTCGCAGATGCATTTTTGTAATGGTTGAAAGTTTTACTTCATATATATGCATTGGTGTAGGCCCTGCTGTATATTGCAGCTGAAGATGAGGCGTTTGTGGCATTCAATAGAGAGATGGATGTTCAGTACCTCTCTCGTGAAAGGGGAAATGTTTCTGTCCCTAATGATGCCCAAGAGTGGGATTCTGTGGAGCAAATGTCTTTGGGGGGAAAGAACATAAATGAGTGGTTGAGTGAGTTAGACAGTATTGCCAAAGAAGTTGAAGCAGAGCTTGTTTCAAGAGAGATAGGCTGCCATCTGGGTGAAGTTCTGGAGGCTGTAAATGTTGTCCTTTTTGAGTTGAGAGGCTTTAAAAGATTACCTGTTCTTGCGGATTCCAAGCATTCTTACTTACACTCAGTACTAAGCTCTGGACGTGGCAGTGGTATTTCTTTCTTCCATACATAGTTATTTGCTGCAATGCATTATTGTTTAAGCTTATGCATGTAGTGGCATTGCAATCATTTTTTGAGGATAGCTAACTACATGATTGCATTGTTTGCAGCAATTTTGCTTAGCGTAATCTACATTGAAATTTGTCGACGACTTGGACTAACCATTTTGGGATCTCGAGTTGGGGAAGATTTTTTGATATGGCCCCAGACCTCATATCCTGAGGTGCTTTGATCTTGGAAGCTTATTTATGATTTTTTTTTTTGGTTTCATAGTAATGCCTCATTGTTGTCTCAAGTGGTTATATATTTGGTTGGAGATTTCATTAGTGAAGTGAGACATTTGTCCTGTGTTTCCATAAGCTTAATTTGAAATTGAACTAATTCAAATTTTACCCCTCCCATCTGTAGGAGCTCTTCAAAGTAACTTCTGGACGCAGCTTGTTTGCTATTGTCAATGGAAATTGCGTGGAGGACCCTAAATCATTGGCATCAGAATTAACTAGCACTTCACTTTTAGGGCTTGAGATAGCAAAAAACCGTGATATTATTGGGATTGCTCTGGCGAACTTGATTGTAAGTTTTCATATTATCCATTGTATTTTATGCATTACATGTGTTCTTTTTAGTTGTGTTGCTGGCTACCATTCATTCTTCATGGTATGCTTCACGAGAGCCACATAACTTGAAGTGAAATTAAATATTGCAGAGGCTTCACTGGAAGCGTGCTTCAAGATCAAATCCTGGATTGATGCTTACTTCTCCTCTTAGGCAAGTTCATACTACTGACAAGGTGGATAATCCAAACGTTCCTTTGTTGCGGCCTCAAGATCTTAGGTACATTCTTAAATTTCATTATGATTCAAGCTATATATCCATTTCCAGCCACAATAGAAGATAAGCCTAGGGAGTGGAAGAAGTGTGTTATGATTCCTAATATTTGTTTGACAGTTCCCATTATGAGCATGAGCTTTCACTTATATTCTTAAGACAGTAAAGAACATTAAATCCTTTCAACCCCTCTTTGTTTGCTGATCTGATTTTGTTATTAACTAAATATACATTTTGTCCTCCTTTGTCCCTTTTTGGAACTAGACAATATCTGCTTCTGGTGCTGTGCTAAATACATGATTGAAGGCAGTTAACTTTGTCCACTTTCAGTTTTTGCAAATGAGGGATTCATTTATAGCATGATAAGTTTAAAAATTCCCCTGCAGACTTGCTATCATGGCTTTGGAAAGATTATTGATTCTGCAGCCACATAACTGGGCACTGAGGAGAGACTATGGCTTGATGTTGTACTTTGATAGGTACTAATGCTGAAACTTCACTCTCCAGAGAATATTATATGCATTTATTTAAATGGTTCACCATTTCTGTTTGATGAAAAAATTCAGGGACTTGGGAGGGGCAGTGCAAGAGCTCAGCATTTGTATGGCCTTTGCCCCTGAAGAAGAGGTGAAAATTCTGGAACCTTTTGTCGAGAAATTGCATCTAATGCGACTTGAATTATCATGGAAGCAATTGGGGATGCTGGTCACCTGACAGTACCTTGACCTTGTATATACTTTTCTATCGATACAGCCTAGTTCGATACAGTCTGTCACTGGGTTGTATTTGGCTTAATGAATGTTCCCTCTCAGCAATGTTTGAAGACATTTAAAAGTCCTAAGATAGTATTAAGATGGCATCCTGGCCCTCTGGGAATGTTGATTTCCTAGCATTAGATTAGAGTGTTAGATGTTTTACTTTATGAAGCATGATATTTTCTTCAATGCCAGCATGAGCATGCCGCCTAGCTGCCTGTTCAAATTAAATATGCTGCCCCACAACTGTTGTTCCATGCAAGTCAAAAAAGAAAGGGGAGGAAAATGCTGTTTTCATGCCTGGCAAATTCCACCTTCAGATCTTTTAAATAGCTTAGTCAACTATGATAACCACTAGATCAACTCAAAATATGTATACTACTAAAAATTTTTATTAATAAATATTCCAATAGAAATGATAGAAGAGGAAAGTTCTAATTTTTTATATCAACGTTAATTTATACAGTTTGTTTGATTTGAAAGAATAAGAAGATAACTTTTTCTATCTGTATATATATATATAAAAAAAAAGAAGGGAGGGGAATTGTTTCACTCTCTCCAATCTCTCCTCTGTATTTCCCTCGAATTGAAAGGAGTATTTAGTTAAAGAGAAGATATTCCACAACAATTGAGCAAAGGAGATTATTAAGATTAAGTTTTGAATGAAAAAATATTTTGTGATACGAAGTTGTGAATTATATTCCACAACAATTGAGCTAAAGAGATTGTTAAGATCAAATTTTTGAATGAAAAAATATTTTATAACATGGAGTTACGGAGGGTATTGAATAAAAAATAAAATTTTTAAATAAAGAATATTTTCAATTAAAGAGACCCTCTCTATTTAAAAAATTTTATTTTACAATCTAGACACAACACTCATACGTAAATATTTATATTGTATGCAAAGATACCTTATTTTAGTTCCTAACCATATAATTTTACAATGTTATGTTGTATGTTGTAGGATATTAA